CATTTCCTTGACTTTTTACAGTAATGAACTAATACAATATTTTTCCTTCTGTGACTGACTTATTCCACTCAGCATAACTTCAGTCCTTGAAGTTACGCATCAATTATTTTGCAGTCTTCCGTATTCACTGTCCAGCTCTCACATGCATGTGCAGCTATTAAAAATACGGTGGCTTGGGTCAGATGCACCTTAGTCTTCAAACCTGTTTTTAAACACTTTAAAAAGGTCTCTTGCAACATAGTTGCCTAGTACAATACATTGATTTCTTAACTGCTACTTCCATGGGCATTAGTTGTCCGCCCAAGTAAAATGAAATCCTTGACACAGTTACTTAGAGTTGACTTTTTATCTTAGGCTTACTTTATATAATCAATTATTACCAAATCATAGTTGGATCTGGAATGAAAATATGTACTTAATCCAGATCTGTACATCTCTAAGTTTGACCAAGTGTCCCATATGTCCTGGGTCTTCAGATCCAGAAATTGCTTTTAGGGAAGGTGTTCTGGTTACCTAGTGCCGCTCTGACAAGAATATACTGGCTTGAAAAAACAGGAGTTTATTCTTTTACAGTTTGGAGGCTTTAAGTCTGAGTTCAAAGTGCCAGGCTCTAGGAGCTGGATGAAAGCCCCTCAACCTTGGGCTTCAGCTCTGCCTCCTGCTCCCGGCCCCCTGAAACTGGAGGCTTTTCTTCACTCAGATAGCTGCTGGCTGCTGAGACTGACAAACCCAAGGTTGACCAGTAAAAAGGCACATTCCTTTTTTTTTTTTTAATTATTATTTATTGTGATTTGGGTGAAGATTTACACAGCAAATTCACTTTCCATACAGCAGTTCACATATACTTTGTTCATGTCATTGACCACAGTTTACCACAATGCAACAGCTCCCCTCCCACTTCCTCCCCTTGGTTACCTCTTACCAGTGTCCATCCCTCCATACACTCTTGCCCCCTGAGCTGTCTCCCTGTGCATAAGCAGTCCTTCTTTCTCCCATGATTGTTCTCTCCAGGGCATGTGTCTACTTGAGGTAAATGTTTAACTCACATGCCTGTACTTTGTTTGGCTGGAAACCACAGGTGTGGGTTCAATTCCAGACCTGAAGGGCAGCTAGGGGCCATAGTCTCAGTGGTTCCACCACGTTCTATTGGACCAGCAAACCTGGTCCCAACCATCTTTTTTTTTTTTTTTTTTAAGGCACATTCCTGATGGTACCAAACCACATGGCAGGCCATTAATTCAAGTCCATTGAAAGTTCCAAGGTTGGCAGAGTATGGCAAGCTGCTGAACAATGACATGGCTACATGCAGGGTCCAAGCGTGTCATAAGCTAGAGACTGTCCCCAAAGCTTCTCCTTATATACAGGAAGCAGACCACATCTCTAAGGCAGCTACTCAGCTGCTCACAGTAGATTCCACCATGGAGTTGATTACCAGTGTCATCCTGGGGAATACTACATCCAGCTGCCTAGCCACTCAAAACCAGGTCCAGCCAAGTTAACCTAAATTTAACTACCACAGAAGGATTCTAAGATTATGGGTTAAAAGTCTATAGAGATATGTATGATTTTCTTTGTTAGAACAAAAGGTTGGAGGTTGAGTTTTTCATTAAGGAAAAGAAATAAGACTAGGAAAAAATACAAGAAGAGGCAGAATTCAAAGACTACTCACTAAATTGGTCAGGTAATATTGTAACTTCTCTGGCCTTGAAGTTTCTAACATGTGAAACAATGAAGTTAACTAGATCTTGTTAAATGTATTATCTTTCCACCTCAAATCTAGGACTCAAATATTTATGAAATATGTGTAAGACACTATTCTTGTAGGACGTGATAGCTGTGTAAGTTATAGTTGTTATCTTTAAGGATTTTAACAGTTTAAAGTGGATGAAGGGGCTCTGAGGATAACTTTCAAAATATTTTTGAAGGAGAAATCCTGGTTTTTTGAATGGTAGGTCATTTGGTGGCTCATTTTAACCACCTCAGAAAGAAAACCACTCAATCACTTTACTGAAGAATTAAGAGTGTAAAAACCATGACTGAGTCCCAAAGTATGATTATAGTCAAATCAGTCTTTCTGAAAGACAGCTTGAATCGTGTCACTCCCCTTTAAAAAAATTAGTAGTTTCCCATTGATCATGGAATCATGTGGTTTGGTCTTTGCTTTGGTATTTAAAGTGCTCTCCTCAGTAGAGCCCTAAGCAACTATTCTGTCCTTATCTCTTACTGTTCCCCTAGATGTACCCCACATTTCAGCTGCTATTTATTTAATGTACTCCTCTTTTCAATTTCTGTCTACCTATATTGCAAGACCCATCTCAGGGGATTCCTTCTTCATTGAGCCATTTCTGGTTCTCAGATCACTTAGCAAATGTCTATTGTACTTACGTTTTGGAACATATCCAATTCTGTCTCAGAGTCTCCAGCTATTTATATTTATATATATATATTTTTTTTTTTTTTTTTTTTACTCCCATAGATTGTAAACTACCTAACAAGCATAGACTTGTCTGTTATTCATTTTTATAAGCTCTGAAACATTTAGAATAGTGCTTTGTTCACAATAGGTCCTTAATAGATACTAAATTTTATTTCTGTTCCTTGGTTTTAAAGGAAACTTCATACCCTGCAAAAATTTACCCCACCAGCTGGAGGGTGGCCAGAAGAAATCCTGACTTAGGGAGGATTAAAGGACAGCTGTCCTTGTGGTGTACCCTCTTTTCTGGAATTGAGGAAGATTGCCACTCCTGTATAATACCAATTCCTTATTCCTGTCACCTTCCTATATATATATATATATGTGTGTGTGTGTGTGTGTGTGTGTATATATAAATATATGGGAGCTCTGGTAGTGTAGTGCCTAAGGCACTTGACTGCTAACCAGAAGGCTGATGGTTCAAACCCATCAGCCACTCCTTGGAAGGAAGATGGGGCAATCTACTTCCGTAGTGATACTGCCTCGGCAGCCCAAGGTGGGGTCGCTATGAGTTGGGTCCGACTCGACGGCACATAACAACAACAACATCATATAAATATCTATATGGGAACTCTGGTAGTGTAGTGCTTAAGGCACTTGACTGCTAACTAGAAGGCTGGAGGTTCAAACCCACCAGACACTCCTCAGAAGGAAGGTTGGGCAATCTACTTCCATAGTGATACCACCTCGGAAACCCAAGGAGGGGTTGCTATGTGTTGGGTCTGACTTGACGGCACATAACAACAACAAGAACTATCTATCTATCTATCTATCTATCTATCTATCTATCTATATCCACACACACACACACACACACACATACACATATATATGTATATATGTGTATGTATGTGTATATATATATCAGAATGATTCAGAGTATTGGGTGGCAGGTAATTTTAGCACCCAAGAAAGCTTAAGTACTTCTAATAGTAACAGTGGACTAGGGTATTTTATAAATATTACCTACTTCATAGAAACATATACCTTATGAGAGAAAAGAAAGCATTCTGCTCTCTACTGATTCCTGCTAGTGTTGAGAAAATGTATGAGTCAAATTGAAAAGAAGTCAGATGGTTTGGAGAGGCATTATTTACTCCTAGTGAAAGTTATCACTTAACCATTTTCACTCATTCTACTTTTTGTACTGAAATGATCTAAATATAATTTTTACTGACATTGTTCCACTCCTTAATTAACAATGTGCAAGGATATGTTTATTTTATCCTTGCAGAAGAAAGGGGGCTGTGTCTTTTAAATTATAACCACTAATGTTAGACTAGGCTATCCCCCAGGAAACATGAGAGATTAAATTTGCTTTAAAATAAAATCTAAAAATAATTTTCTGCTGATATTTAGAAACAGATAAGAGGTTCATAATATTTCAGACTATAAAACTCCACTGCAGCAGAAACCAGAGGGTTTTGGCTACTTAGTTCAGTTCTACTTAGTGTTTCTCTACTTTCTATGTCATTTCTGAGATGTAGGCTGGAGTACAGCATATGTTTAATTTAGAGGAAATTTATTCTAAGCACTCGTGTTTTGGGGATAAAGAGGTAATAGAGGTGATTATAATTTAGTAGACATGGTCTCCTATCTTCTGTGAGGATAAAATAAACATACCCTTGTACATTGTTAATGAAGGAGAGGAGCATATCAGTAATCTCTCAGATCTGGAGGAGTGATGTGATTAATCTTTAGTAAAGTTTTCTGGGGTACCAGAAAATAATGGGAACATTCTAAACTAGATTATTTTCATGAGATGAGCACATGGCATAAGCTATTGGATGACAGATGACACAGCCTATGTCAGCATTTATGAGAAGTTAAAGACTTACCTACAAGGGACAATATGCCTGTGTTTGGTACTGTGAGTAAAGGGAATGTTACCCATTTAGAGTCACTCAGCACTTTAAAAATGGTTTTCTCTGTTATTGGGAAATACCTAGTTGTCTCATCTGTCAGTTTGTCGTATTGCAGTGGCTTGCATGTTGCTGTGAGGCTGGAGGCTATGCCACTGGTATTTCAAATATCAGCAGGGTCACCCATGGTGGACAGGTTTCGGTGGAGCTTCCAGATGAAGGCAGACTGGGAAGAAGGATGAGGCTATCTATCTACTTTTCAAAGAACTGAAAACTTCATGAATGGTAGTGAAACACTGGTGTGAGGATGGCACACGACTGGGAAATATTTCATTCTGTTGTACGTAGGGTCACTATGAGTCAGAGCCCACTTGATGGCACCTAACAACAGCACATACAGTGGTTTGTTATTCTTGGACTGTGTAGAGTCAGTGTGAAGCAATATACATGTTTTTTTAAAAAATGAAACCAAAAACAACAGTTTGCTAAAAGTAACTGGTTTTTCCCCTTGTAATAAACAAAGAGATTTTTGAAGGTTGAAGTTGAACTTTCAGTATGTTAGAGAATAAAAGTCAAAAAGATGTGCTTTTGTGATTGAAGGCAGTCATTCAAAGTACATACAAATAGATATATTTTTTTCTGTTTGTTTGTTTTCATCATTAAAGGTGGCTGTCTAGAAGATGACCATAGAGGACCTTCCAGATCTTTCATTAGAAGGAAATCCTTTGATTGGAAGATACCCATTTTTATTTCCAGGTTCTGATACACCAGTTATATTTTCCATTTCTGCAGCACCGATGCCTTCAGACTGTGGTATGTTAAGTTGTCGTGTTTCTTTTCTTTCATAACTTGACTTTTGTTTTATCCCCTTTTTGTACTCATTATTTTTCCTAAAAACCATTCGCTATGGTTTTCATAAATTGCTCAAGTTTTTCTTTTTTTAAAATACAATTGCTTATTTGCTTTTTCTGCCTCTTAAGCTAAACAGTTTATTTCTGCTGTCAGCATTTTTATTATATAAAAACATTCATTCCCAGCACCATGGTGGATTTAGAGGATTTTATTTTTGGAATGTAGTGGTGATTAAACATCTAGCATTATTCTGCTATTGATGTATTCATTTTGGATAAATGTACTGACTTGCTAAAAAGTCATGGAGTTAAGCAGAGGAGGATTAGAAACCCTCCCCTGAATTGTGGAGTAAGATTGGTTCATAGTTTCTCCTTTAAATCTCCTATGAAATGTAAATATAGGAGTGTTTCAGTTTTCATCTATTTAGACTTATTTCCCTAAGACCATATTTTATCATAAAGTTGGTACATTAATAGAAGAAAACCAAGAGATACATTTGATAGAATTATTATATTCCAATTTAGTTAGAATTTATCAAATAAAATATTGGGTTACCATTTGAAAATGTCTTTGGAGATAATACTGACTTTAAATACTGAAAAAAAACAAAACAGAACAAAACCCACTGCCGTTGAATCAATTTGGACTCATAACAACCCTGTATGACAAAGTAGAACTGACCCATAGGGTTTCTAAGACTGTAAATCTTTATGGAAGCAGACTGCCTCATCTTTCTTCCTAGGAGTGGCTGCTGGGTTCGAACCTCTGACCTTTTGGTTAACAGCTGAATGCTTTAACCATTGTACCACCAAAACCCCTATTTTAAATATCAGTAGATATAAAATTATTGAATTGGCAGTTTGTCTTTTCAGTTCTAGCCATTTTAATAACTCCTCAACTCCAAGTGTCCCATTTTTGCATGTGTTTAGAATGTATAACAGCTTACATTGAAATCATCAGAAGTATTACATAAAATGTATATCTCGGAAGAGTTGTTTTTAGCCTTTTCAGAAATTGACTGAGTTGATTTTTCAGATATAACAAAATCAGTTATGTGGGGAAAACCTTGAACAAAAGCATATTGTACTTTGCTGTGGCACTTAGCTCATTCTACCTTGAGTTACTTCCTTTCCTAGACTGTAGCTCTTTTGGATGGGGTAGCAATCCTGCTTTTTTTTACTTCGTGAAGGCTAACATAGTCATTTATTGATATTAATTGCTCAGTAGATGTTTTATTGAATAAATACATCAAATGAGATATGATAATGGATATTGACCCCTTTTATAACGGAAATTAATCATTGATTGTATTAGTAGAATTATAGATTCTTAGAGAATTGTGATGGATCTATAGTTTAACTTTTCCTATTCATCTACCAGTATAGAAATTCCGTTTTCAGAATTTCTGATAGATAACTGAATCAGCCTGTTAAATATCTTCAATAGTGGGAAAGTAATGAAAGTGGTGCATTCATCGTTAAAAAGCTGTAGTTGTAAAAAGAAAATGGTTTTTCTATACAGACTCAAAAATGTCTCCCTGAAGCTTTGGCCAGCTGGTACTAGTTTATTTATTATTTATTATTTTTTTTTTCCTGATATAATGCTTTTTTTTTAA